CAATGACAGGGACGCACATTTTGAAGGACAAGACAGTAGCCTATAGGATGTATTTTGAATGTCCGGTAGTCCTCAAATAACATTATAGTCCCATCTCGTTTTGTTAACGAAGACGCGGCATAAATTTCGTCATAGTTTTTATCATCAGATATTAGTTTTAGCTCGTCAACGTCTTGTCTCGTCACAGGGAAAAATGTTTGTTAACAAATATTTTTCGTCGCCGTCTTCGTTGACGAAATTAACACTGATTTGGAGTGCTCAACAACTCCATCAGATCAATGGGCTCTGTCAGTGCTTTGGCAAGGTAACACTTTTTTTTTGCCATGCAATAAAACTAAGTTCAAAGGCTAATTTATAATATTGGTACAGTAAAAAGTGCACAAAATCAGTATTTTGTTTAGGCAGTATTTGTGGCAGTCGAGAAATCATGTTGCGAAATTGGTCCAAAAGGTGTGAGCTTTTGCACCAATGCATTGTTAAAGGATCAGTGTACTATGTAATATTCCCATATAAAACTTTAAGTAAAATTTGCTAATTCACAAGATCAATACATTCTTTATTAAACCGCTTTGTCGAATTTAACACATCCTTACGGAAGTGTCGAAATGCTGAATCAATTCATTCACTTCTAACAGCGCTTAAAGCGAGGAGCGTCATACACAGAGGACAGAGCATTGCATTATGCTCTTTATTTGTATTTGCATATTATGCTCATTATGTATTATTTAAAGGGGAAATTCACGCAACAATGAGTAACAAAGGAATAAGCAGCTGCATTCTGATTACTTTTATGTCACTGATCAGGCTTTTATATTTAGTTTGGGGTAGTAAGGGTTTTATAGGTTTGACTGAAATAATAACGCAATAACTGACACTTTAAATCAATGTTTCCAACAACAAAACAATTGAACAAAAAAAAGATAAAGACAAAAAGTAGCCACTGATAATATATAAACATGTATTCAAATCCAAATGTAATAAAATTAATTTGTGTGATGACAATTTCTTAGCAACTAGGGATTGTTACATAGGGCTATACAGGCATCTAGTGGCTACAGATAATAAATTGTGCAAAATGTTTATCTTAACAGTCAATTTACAAATAATGCATTCAGATTTGTGGAACTCACAATGCACTGAATCTCCACAAATTAGTGTCGTTACTATGACAACCAATTTGAATGTGACAAGAAACTGGTGTCCGAAATGTTATATATTTTATATATATAAAATATATAAAATTATGGGAGGAGGGGGGGTGATTTCGCCTAGGGCGTCAAAATGGCTAGAAACGGCCGTGCATATCCAAATTGAACTGATTGGATTCTCAAGTTCAACTCACTGACAGATCATTGAGTGGTCATGAGAGTCAAATCATTTCCTTAATGGCTAACAGCTCATGAAAGGGAAAGATTCAAAGTAAAAACATCTTACATTTCGATCAGTTCATCACACAAAACTACTGAATGACTTCAGAAGACTTGGGATATAGTGTATCAATCATAAGCACCAATTTCATGAAATGTTTATGGTACTTTTCTTTTCTGCCCTCATTCAGCTTAACTCCACTACAAGAGCAACTGTCACATTCTTCAAAATATCTCCTTTCATGTTCCACAGAACAAAGATCATACGATTTGAGGCTGAGTAAATGATGAAAAGCGAGCGAGAGTGATTACCGCTAAGACTGCTGTCGATCTTCTTTCCCGTGTATTTGTCTCTTACGTGGAACAGAACGCTGGTCTCGTGAGCTCTATCAAAGTAAAACTGGAAGAGACAGATCAGAGGGTGAGTCAGACGCGCTTTCAGAAGCGTCTCATTTGGACACAAGCTCATCTCAGGTAAAAATATTCCTCTCCGTATCCACAGGCAGTTTGGCAGGAAGTCAAAAAGCAGCCGAACAGTATATGCTTCTCTCTCCACTCATTACCTACAGATCTCTCCTCCACATTAAACACTAGAGACGAAGTACAGGCTGGAGACTTTCCAACAGGGGGAGCTATAATCTCAAACTCCCAGAAGAGCCACTGAAGTGGAGGTAGGTGTCTCTTTACGTTGGTAATTGGTTGTGTATCATTTAGCAAGAGCTTTTTATTTAAAAAGATTTACAGTAGAGGAAAAACAGTCTGCCTTGGGCAACATGTGGATAGAGAGAGAAAGTCAAAGATCAGTGTGTGAGTGTGTGTGTGTGTGTGAAACTAACCACATAACCGCTGAAAGAGTAGAAGGGTCCCGGCTCCGTCTTGACATCTTCCTCAAACTTCATCAGCTCTGTTCCGATGGTGAAATCACGGCCCTGGAGTGTCACAATTCGTAAAAAATCAACAAAAACCCTTTTGTTGCATTTATGCACAGGTAGGAGGACAGGAAATTACGGAGGAACAAATTTGAAAAAAAGTACAAGCCAAATTCAGACAGATCTGTTTAGAGGAAACTGAATTACGATTTATAACAGATCACGAATGCATTATAAATGCACAGACATTTTTTTTTCCTCTTGCTGTCCAGAAAACATCTAAACATCCTTTAAAGGGGTGGTTGATTGCGATTTCACTTTTTATCGTTAGTTAGTGTGCAATGTTGCTGTTTGAGCATAAACAAGCTGAAAGTTCAATGCAGACGGAGATATCGTCTTTTAAAATTCTGGCAGTTTAATGTCTACAAAAACGGCTGGTAGGGACTACAACTTACTAGTTACTTCCCGGGTTTGTGACATCACAAACCCAGATAAACCCCGCCCTCGGGAAAAGGCAGCAAAGGGGGCGGGGCCATGTTGCGCTGCTTTAGAGAAGAGGAAGAGAAAACTAGAGGTGCACGTAAAAATCTATTCATATATTAATCATGATTCTGTCTTCTAACAATCATCTGTCTTCTAATAATGGATTCACAAGTTTCAAAATCAATGTTCTAAAGCAGCGGTTCTCAATTCTGTTCCTCGTGTCGCCCTGCTCTGTACATGCTCTGCATATCTCTCTCTCTCTCTCTTTCTCATTCAGCTCAGCTCCAACAATGAACTGTTCCAATTATACACTTATTTTCACATAGCTATGAGAAGCGTTAAACATGGACGCGCGTGCGGTTGCTGTACTGTATTAAAGCTTAAATCAGGATAAACCCGTATATAGAGGCAGTTTAGCCAATCACAACACATTGGACTAGCTAACCAATCAGAGCCCATCACCTATTTCTGAGGGAGAGGCTGCATAAAACCAGGAAACGATCAGCGTGTTTATAGGAGAAGGTACAGAGCGGTGTAGAATAAAATTTTTAAAAAAAACGAAGCATTAACACATGTTAGAATGCACCCCATAAACACAATGAAGCCTAGAAAAAACCCAGTGAACCACCCATTTAAAACAAGATTGATTACAAAATTAATTACAAAATTGACTTAAATTAAAATAATGACAATATATGTTTTTATTTATTTATACACACACATATATATATATATAATTTTTCAAATATATAAAATATTTCATATATGCTGAACTTTAGTTTTTTATTGGCAATATTTTTTATTGTTTTAAGAATTAAATTCAAATAATAAAATTCAAATAAATAATAATAATAATAATAATAATAATAATAGCAACAAATAAAATAAAATAAAATAAAATAATTTGCCAATGGACATAACCTCTGAAAACAATCTTAATATTAGGGGTGTCAATTTTACATTTTAAAAATGATTGATTATATAAATAAAATGTCTTTGCATTATTTTAAAAAGGCTTATAGTTATTAATATAAACATTAATATATGCTTTTAGTATTAATTAATATTTTTATTTTATTTATATTCTGTAACTGTAATGTAAATAATAATGACAGTAATTTCAATATATGATATATATATTAAAATATACATAATATTATATTATATTACAGTATATTATATTATATTACATTATATTATATTATACAATATTTTAATATATATTAAATATATTATTAGTGATTAATTAGGTTACTTAATAAACATATGCAGTTTATTCAAATACATTTTAACCAACTTAAAATGTGTTAAAATGTAAAAAACCAACAAACAGCCCTACTTAATATATTACACAATTGTGTCAGAAAACAAGACAAAAATATTGATTTAATGACTTTGAATGATCTTGTGACCTTGAAGAATGATCAGAACTCACCTTGTATGGGTCCAGATTGATGCCCTCAAAACTGATCCGGGTTTTGTATCCGACCGGGATAAGGACGGGATCTGGATTCTCGAACCGCGGACAGCTCTTGTTCTAGAACACAGAGGAGCCGGAGAACTCAGGAAAGCTGAATCTGCTGAAGTCCACACTAATCTACAGCAATTTTCTGAGCGATTGTTAATCTACACCCGACAAAAATTAATGAACATCTATTGAAACTGAAAAACTCATTAACTATGATGGCGTGCATGAATAAAACAGTTTATTTACAGCTGAAATCTATTAAATCCTCACTGACATTGGTGACTGTGTCTAATTGCATAATTGCATATAATTCATTTTTTCCCTCCATTTTGTTTTTATTTTGCTGATTCAGCTAATGTGTTTTGCATTAAAACTTTCCGAGTAAAGTCATTTAGTTTGTGTCCATTTCACATTTCATGTGTGGCTGTTCCAGGAAGCAGCAAATATGAAAGAGTGTGAAGGCCATTTCTGAAATTGCTGGCACTGGATATCGATAATGATTCAGCTGTATGCTTCAAGAAATGGTTTTAAGAAAATAAATAAATAAAACATCTAGACCAGTTGGATCTGGTGTTTGAAGACGAGAATCACATGAAACTAATCAAAGTGGCCCAAATCAATGGCGCTGATAGCAGACATACATCACCGAGATGTTTACTCGATGTGTGCTTTTTCAAACATGTCATTTTTAGCACGTTTCCTCATCTGCAATACTGCAATACTTAGAAGATGTTTTTATTTGCCTAATGCACATTCCTGGTCTTAAAGGAATAGTTCACCCAAAAATGAAAAAATTGCATCCAAGATGTAGATGAGTTTGTTTCTTCATCAGAACAGATTTGGAGAAATGTAGCATTCCATCAGTTGCTCACCAATGGATGCTCTGCAGTGAATGGGTGCCGTCAGAATGAGAGTCCAAACAGCTGATAAAGACATCAGTAATCCACACCACTCCAGTCCATCAGTTAATGTCTTGTGAAGTGAAAAACTGCGTGTTTATAATAAAATAATAATGCTTCCTCATTCTGACGGCACCCATTCACTGCAGAGGATCCATTGGTGAGCAAGTGATGGAATGCTACATTTCTCCAAATCTGATGAAAAAAACAAGCCCATCTACATATTAGACGGCCTAAGGGTGAGTACAATTTCAGCACATTTTTATTTCTGGGTGAACCATTCCTTAAAACATTATCAAATGCATTCATAAACAATTATCCATTACAGATGACATAATTATGACAACACTGGCAGTTTAAACAACTCAAGGATGGCTAGCAGGTGCATTTCTTTCTGTTTCCTTTCAAAAAAGATTGAAGTAAAATGGTTGTGAACACCATTTCTGGTTGATTTTTCGAATTTAATAAATTTTATTTAATACAGGTTTATAATACATTGGGGTTGGTATTATTTTTGTACGTTTTTGAAAGAAGTCTCTTATGCTCACCAAGGCTGCATTTATTTGGTCAAAAACTATTATTACAATTGAAATAACTTTATTTCTATTTGAATATATTTTAAAATGTAATGTATTCCTGTGATGACAAAGCTGAGTTTTCTCTTTTATTTCAGGATTCTTTGATGAATAGAAGATTCAAAAGATGTATTTGAAATAGAAATCTTTTGTAACATTATAAATGTTTTACTTTTGATCAATTTAATGCATTCTTACAGAATAAAAGTATTAATTTCTTTACAAAAAAACCCTTTCTGACCGGTAGTGTATGTGTACTAAGTGAGGCGTGTAATAGACTGTAATACTGATAAAAAGGAAGAAAATGGTGCGTGTGAGCTCATTGGATTCTCTGTTCAGTACCTGTCTGTGTTTGATTATATTGGCGCCGGTTTCTGCGTTGCTCAGATCCGTGCAGGTATGCGCCGCAATGTTCCACTGACATCCCCAAGCGCTGCTTACACAGGAAGTGCATCTGCGGAGAAACACGCAGAGCGATTAAAGCAGAGGTTTCAAATCAGAGTTCTAGTTACATTTTTCATCAGTGTGTAAATGTTTGGAGTAAAAGCATATAGTCCCGGTGCACTTCAAATAATACTCATTCATCAGCAATGTCCCAGAGCTCTTAAAAAACACAAGGAGAAGGGGAAAAAAAGAGATGAGAGATCGACTTTCATGTGTGATGAATGAATGCGAAACGAAAGCAATTTCCTGCTCTTGGAGGAAAAAAAAAAAAAAAAAACGTAAGCAAGTCTCTACAGAAGCAAATTCAATTCCAGCTTCAGTGATGCATTACAATTTATGAGTAAACCTCATCGTTACAGATGCTCATATTCATTATACACACAGTGGTGTCAGCATAAAGCGGAGACACACACTCGCTGACAATAGGAGTCCAGACAGCAAACGTACGGCGTATTTTCTGCTTTCCGGACTGTCGCTGCGCAGTTGTAGAACTTGTACTCGCTGGAAGCCACCTCCACGCTACCGTTCACAAAGATGTGGACCAGAACCGCCACAAAATCTGCAAAAAATGCACAGGAGAAGGTTAGCCAATCACAGCAAAGGTCATCAGCCTCAAACTCTTAAAGACACAGTAGCAAAACAGTCTTAAGAAACCCTGATGAACATTGTAAGTGGACTTGTGACTATATGAACTATAGTTCAAGTATCGAAAGGACTGCATAAGGAACAGACTGAAATGTCATAATGAGTTGAACTGGATCGGTCTGATTTTTTAACCAAATCAACTGATTCAGGGGAAAGAATCAACTTAAAAGAGTGATTCGTTCACAAGTTAGACAGCTAAACGGAGGAGATTAGCCAGACTGACTTCTTTTATGGTGATTTTTTTTGCCCTTTTAGTAGCTTGACAGATGTGGTCACTATGAAATGCTGAAAACCAGCGTGAAATTTCATGATAATAACAAAATATAGGTTTGAAATAGCATGAACATAATAAAATAAATCAAATAATAAAATAATTAATAGAAAACAATTAAATATTAAAATACATACATATTTTTAACATGACAATTATAATAAAATAAAATGAAATAAAAATAAAATGGTTTATTACGAATGAAAAATGATTAAAATATTTTAATTAAAACAACCTTATTATTATAATATTATTTAAGTTAGACTATTGCTTTAAACCCCACGTAATTCTGGACCATTAAAAGAACTGGACTGCAACATTATATGAATTCTAATAATTCTAGTAATAATAATAATAATTTTAAATAATTGTTTAAAAGATAAATGATAAGAAAAAAATATATTAAAAATGATTTATTATGAACAACACCTTATTGCTTTTATTAATGGTATTAATGGTAATAAAATGTATTATAAATACACAAAAATAATATAACATCTTAAATTTAAACTATTGCTTTAAAAGCCACATCATTCTGGAACATAACAACTGAAGCCAAATAAATCAAATAATAATAATAATAATAATAAAGTATTGAATAATTATTTATGAATAATTTAATTTAATAATCAATTTAATGTAGTAATTATTCATTAAATAATTGAATGAAAATTGCAAGTAAATGTAATTGAAATGTAATACAAAATAATACAAAATGAGAAGCTTTCAGGAACAGATAGCCCTTCATTAGGGCTAGGGTACTAAACCGTTCATTCAGGGTCCTGTGTCGTGACGTACCTTGGTGCGCAGGTGTCGCTGGTATAAGATGCTGCTCAGGTAAGCGGCAACTGATTCGGCCGTCCACCATCCTGCCGTTGCTCTGATAAGAGCCGAAGGCGCAGTGGATACGGTCTGAATCTCTGAGGATCGGCAGCGCTCGGACGTTTATCTCAACCTGAGGGACATTTAACAAACTCTCAACTCTGATGTGAGAGAAAGGAGCAAAACAATCTGAAATCTTTGATACTATTACATACTGTATATTCAGATTACAGTGAGGTGACTGCTTTGTGTTTATTCCATGCATTCCAAAATAACACTTCCAAACTTTGTCTGAATAACTGTTAAGATTTCATAAGAATGTTCTTGAACAAATAACAACTTTTCTCTCAATAAAACAGCTAGAAGCGCCCTCTTAATACACACATCCCGTAATCAGAGAACGTACTGCATTGAAGCGCAAAACACAATGGCAGCACCTTCACAACAGCATTCTAAACACACCATCAGCGCCCATTGTGTTTTCACCGTCTGTTCACCAATATGGCCTCATTGTGTGGGAGTCATGCTCAGCTTTTCTCATAATCAGCGCTGAGCAGTCTGGTTTAAAAATAAGACTCTGGTAATTGTGTCCGCGACACTCAGCCTGGTACCTGCTGGGACTTCAAGCAGCTGAGATTTGGCGGGTGGAAAGAGATGATTTTCACACACTGTTGGGTCGGACTCCACAGCCAACCGTTCTTTTCCTCCGCACGACTGCACTCCGATCTCCTGGTGCATCTACGCAATCAATAACGCATTATAACATAACACTCTTCATGCAATTAAATACAACAACATTATAATACAACACTTATGTTCAGGGAAAACACAATAATTGAGTCTTTACACTGCAATTTTGTATTCGGTAAATAATACAATAAAATCATGAATTCAATTGGTTCGATAAAAATAATATTTCTATTTATACTTACAGTAACATAACTAGAAACTGTATGTAAATATGAAGAAAACCAAAATATGTTTGGTTCCAAATTGCGATAAATGCCTTTTTTTTTTTTTTATTGAGTTTCCGCCAAAATCAGTATTGTATATGGTCAGTATTGAAAAGTCAATTTTTAATTTTACACAAAATGCGATATCCACCGAGTTATTCTGTCATGTTTTCTCCCTTTCTTTCCAAACTGCGACAAACGCCAATCTCCCTTCTCTGCAGAATGCGATATATCCGCTCAACCAATCACAGCGCACCATTCCACGCACTCCAGACAGTAATGGCGGCACTTTGAATACACCCGGCATCCTAGTTTTCCTCATCTATTTTGTACTTTGTGATCAACAAACAAACTTAGGGCTGCACGATAAATCGCATGTGATTGTCATGCGCATCTCGTCAGTAAAACCGGTTCTGTGATTAATAGTAAATTTCCATTACGTGCTTTCAGATGGAGCAGCACTTAATACACAGAGCCGTAGATCACTGCTATATCGCGTTCATAATCGCAGATGAGTCGCATTCGATTATGAATGCGATATTGAGTAGATTGTCAGTGTAAGTGTTTTTATTAATGCCATTTATGTTTTTGTTAATACAGCGTATAGCACTAGTCAACTAAATGAATGTAACATGGCAAAGATGAATGCGCTTTTGGAAGTTGAATGTAAGGGAAATATCATTTGGGAATTTCTGTGGTTTAATGTGATATTGTTGTTCATGTATGTTCATGATGAAATTTCCTTTTATTGTTGTAATTAATTTAAAGCATTAACAAGATGACACGTTGAATTCTTTTTGGGAGCGATGACTGATTGAATGTATTTTTAGTCCAGTGCCTGTATATAAGATTAGTATTGACCAAGTTCAGAGGCTGTCATATGTGGATCAACTTACTATGTTGTGCATTTTCAACAGTTTCAATATGAAAAATAACTTTTATATTGATTCAATGGATTTATTGCATTTTGGGAAAAAAATACTTAAATTTTATAATAAATCTTTGAAAATCTAAATCTGGATTTGAATTTTTAATGTTATTATAACCTAAAGATGCTATGTGAAAGTTTGAAACAGAAAATAGTGGTTTTCATCTTGCCACTTTCTTGGTAAAGAAAACACATTTTTACTCAAATTAATCAAAATGGATTTATAGCGTTCTGAAACCAAACCCTTCATATATAAAATATATATAACAGTAAAAAAATAGCCAAAAATACAATCAGTTTACATTTAAAAGAATACAAAGGAATACGATACAAATTATGAATTCAATTGTTCAAGTTCAAAATAATATATCTACATATACACACAGTAATATAAAATAAATAGAAAATGTATGTAAAAATATAAAATATAAATCATTTCAAAACTGTCAAAAATGCAATGAGTTTACATTTAAAATAATATAAAGGAATACAGATATATACAAATAATATATAAATATAACACTATATATATCCTATTTGTTATATATTGTAATTCTAATTAAAGAATATACGTGTAGTATGTAATATAAATACTATATAAGTATACACAATAAATGTAGGAAAATAAAAGGTTTATTTAAATATAAAATAAATATAATATATAATATTTTGCATACATATTTTATTTTTGTTTTATTATTTTATTTTATTCCTATTTTATTTGCCAAGTTCAGTGGAAACAGAGGCTGGATTTAAACTTAATAAAACTTAGACATAAGCACAATTTTATGCCGAAAAATGTGGGTACCTTCCCTCCAGGACACACCAGCCACAGTACGGATCTCTCTGAGCGACACACGACTGGCAGTCTGACTTCAGATGGCAGGCCTGTACGGGCACCTTTGTGATCTACACGACCACAAAACAATGAAATGATTCAAATAAAGCTGCACTCAATAGAACTAGGATGCATCTAAAGGATGCAATGCAAAACCAGTCACAATTCAACAGACTTTAAAAGGTCCCAAGGAAACAATAGTCAAAACCATAAAAAGTAAAGTCGTTTTTTGAAAAGTAAATCAGTTCACACGGAAATGAACTGATCTAAACGAAGCCTGTGTGTTAATCAGTTCAAGCGGAATTAAATGCAGAAAATTACAGAGAAGACAACAAACGGCAAAGCAAGAAGAATTTCAATAAACAATGCAATTACCCCACCTAAGGTCAAAAGCTCAGAAAGACGTACACTATATTGTTGCCTTAAAAAAATAATAACGTATATTTCAGCACCAACAGGAGGCGTAACAACACAAGCCGCTGAAATAGTCGCAATCATGCGTTTCCTGAGGTTGAGGCGGCGATAATCAAAGAGTACACCGTCTATGATAAATGACTCCAGCCTCGTACCTTTTTCTCAGTGGTGATGTACAAGTGCGCCTGGATTTTGTCAAAGAAAAGGTTCTTATTTATGTAGCCGCTGGTTTTGTAGCCCGGACCGGGGTTGTACGCCTCTGGATGGCTTGACAAATGTACCTGGGGTAAAGAGAGAACAATAGACACAGAGAAACCCGCAATTAAAGAGTCCAGCACAGGACAGGACACATCTGTCATATTTACAGACCACACAAAACCCCCTCAGAGCATCCCACGCACCTGAGCCGCACCTGACAACCTGTCAACCCCCAACTAATAGCCTACAAGCCGCATAATGACCATAAAACCCGGCTCCGTTTGCAGCAAATTCACAAAAACCTCCATCTGTACTGTTTTTATCCATCTATTGCTCAATTTCATCTGTCTATCCTACAAATAATCAGCTCTAACAAAGCCTTTTTATAGGGATGTACGAATTGGACTCGCGTGGAGCAAGAGGTTCATTATTTCTAATATATCGTCTAACGTGTTTAGTTGTGTCTGGGTTCGGTGACAGTAATATCTTTTTCTCTTTCATCCCTCTGTCAGAGATTTGCTACGTTCACCCTCCAATTCCCTCACCTGCCAAAGCCTAAACTCCAGCTTTGTGACGCGCATGCTAAATCAGGTGTGTGACACCAGGTAGCTAGCTGGTTGTAGCGGTTCGCTAATTGGTTGTCTCAAATTTCCTCAACATTTCCTTAACAAGGCCTCTTTTCGGCGTCCTCCTACGGGCTGTCAATTTTTGGTTATTTTTACATTGAGGAAAAGTTAGTTAAAGGGTTAGTTCACTCAAAAATGAGGATTGTGTCATTTTTCTCTTGGTGTCGTTTCAAACCAGTATGACTTTCTCTTTTCGAGCACGAAAGGAGAAATTTTGAATACTGTGCTGGTTGTTCTTTTCCAGGTAATAATAATAATGAGAACTTATGCATTCAAGCTTCAAAAAGATACTAAAACATCATAAAAATATCAGTAATATAGTAAATATGACTTTTTGCACTATATTTCAAATCTTCTAAAGTCATACGATAACTTTGTGTGAGAACCCCCCGAAAGTTTCAGTAATTTTTCACTAATAATCATAGAGTTGAACTCGAGAACAAAATCAGTTTAATTCATGAATGAATCGCTTGTGAAGTGCATTAAATGATTCACTGAAAAGATTCAACTCACTCAAAAGATTCATTCACATTGCTACTTCGAGCATGAACAAAGGAAAAGACGTAAATGTTGAGCTTTTCCTCATAAAAATTCCCCATAAACTATTACATGACTCTAGAAGACTTGAGAATACAGTGCATAGGTCATATGGACATCTTTTATGATAGTTTTACAATGTTTTTGTTTTTATCTAAAAAGTTCAATTCTATTTCATTAGCTATGTTTCTATCACCCTGTTTTATGTGCATTTTGAAGTATCGCATCAGAAACAAGTGATGGAAAGGGCAAATTTGCGAAAAAGGGTTAAGGTCTCTGCACACTGAGTCCGAAATTTTCGTATGCGTTTTTTCGTATTCGAAATCCTAAAAATTCGTCACGCACAGAAACCTTGCACACTGAGTCCGATGCGTATTAATTAATCCGTTGCGAAAAAATTCACAAAACAGCACTAAATGGAGTCTTCAAGCAGTGAGGATGATTTTGTTGTCCTCTTGCTTCTTAAAAAAAGAAAAAGAAAGGAAATATTGGGTCCATCCGATACTGAGATAGAGAGGAAGGAGAGTTCCCCCTCCTTATTAAGGAGCAGCGGGATTATCACGGGCGATTCAAAGTTTACTTCAGGATGTCAGTGGCTCAGTTTGATGCTTTTGCTAGCGATACTAGAGCCACATATTAAAAAGAAGACCACCAATTTTTGTGAACTCAGTGTGCAAGGATCTATATACAGTGCTTTGTGCTTTGGATGAACGTGACAATCGCCATTCTGGATTTTGGCGTTCGCTTGTACGGTGGCTCTGAACTGTCAAAACACCTCTTAAAATGCTTGCTACGGATGCGAAAAACGGATCCGGAAACATTACACGTGACATAACGTGAGGTCGTAATTATTTTTTAACGTGCGAAAATTTCGGACGAAATTTTCGGACTTAGTGTGCAATGACCTTTAATGCGAATAATGGGAGATGCCGAATAAATTCCTCTGTGTGTATCAAAAAGTTATTTGTGCTATGGGACGACATAACCTGACTAACCAGCGGACAGATCTTGTTGCTCGGCATCTGAAATGTTCTTATGCTCAATCTAAAATTCTAAGTATTTATTGTCTTATACGAACGACTGCGTTCCCAAACATCAGCATCCACCTCCGAAAGCATTGTCTCTACATTTACTGTTTCGTCTGCTCGCTCTGAGGCGCAAGTAATTTATTATGTATGAAAATTATTATATTCAGTGCCGTCTCCTTCATTTCTTAGTGATATTTAGTGCCAGTTTATCAGGAAGATGATTTTGTTCTTTTGACTCGTTAGATGGAAACAGTGCTTTTTCGCAAATGTTTTATGCGATATTCCAATTGTGCGCATAAGTTCAATTCGCAACTTTGGATGGAAACCCAGCTATTGTTATAAAAAGAACTAAACAAAAAAAGTATTCTTTTGTGTTCCAGAGAGGAAAAACTCAAGAGAGATTTGCAATGGCATCAGGGTGAGCACATGGTTTTCATTGTTGGGTGAATGATCCCTATAAACCATAACTTTGAATACATTCCTACTTATATTCCCAGAGAGTGGTCAAACACCTCAAAGCCATGGGTTATAGCACCTTAGGATGAGGGTTTGTGCACCATGTGAATGTAGTTTTTTGAATTTAACACAGCTTATCTCACCTTTATCACCTCTCCGGCATTGTGTCCCAGAAAAGCAATGGTGTGATCATTCTCGACAGCCACGGCCACCGCGGTCAGCAGGTTCTGCCTGATGAAGACGGGATTGGCCTTCAAGGCAAACTCCTGTCGACTGGCCAATGGAGACGGGAGAAAATCGGCTCCGCACTTGTAATGGTTCACAATGTCTTTCTGCAAGACAACAAATAGTTAAGGGAAACAGACACTAAAATAAACATGACATCAAAATGTACTATTTATACGCTACTGGCCTAGCCTTGTTAATCTTTCATCAAAATATAATAACTTGCTCCAGCTCTAAAAAATTATTCCTAGTATCTTCTTTCACTGCATCACAGAAGTTAAATGGGTTATAAAAGAGCACATTTTGTAAATCTCTACCCTTCGGGTGCTGTATGTTGAGCACATAAAAATCATTAGTTCTTGCTGCAGTTTTCCCAAAACACACTTTTAACCAGGATAATTTCAGGATGTAAGCAGTAGTGAAATCACTCAAAAATGTGGAGCGTGTTTACATGAAAGTTTAAAAAAATAAACCTTTTTAAAAATTATAATTCAGTTTCAAAGGGTTTGATCAACAGATCAAATCATCTACAAAGTTTGATCTTAAATTAATATAAAAATATTATATATATTTAAAGCTGCAGTCCGTAAATTTTGCCTCTTTGTCGCCATCTCTGTTTGAAAACCTGCAATTGCAGCTGTTTGCGGAATTATCTTCCTTGCGTGGGTTGTGCGCCAGCATGGCTCCAGCGCGAATGAATCTAATGTTTTGAGGAGTATGTGTGCGTAGCAGTCAGTCACCGCACCGGTGTGGATATTGTACTTTGCACTCACAGATTCTAGCCTACGTCTTGGAATATATGACCCAAGTAAGAATTTTCACCGTATACTGTAATCTGAACAAGTAAATTACAATTCAAACTGGTTGTCTTTAAAATACAAATCTTGTGTAATCCCACGCTATCTGTAATCAGAAGCACATTTAAAACTGGAATATAATTTAATTTTATTCACATGCATTTCATAAACACATAATCCTTTCTGGATTACAATCCGCAATCAAAATGATACATTTAATTTTTCCAGCTGCTGTGAGAAAAGGCTATAAACGATCGGCCACCTGCAGGATCCTCACATGTGATAGCCTAGTAGCCGGGACAACTTCTTTATGTTCACAGACGTGACGTAATGACGTGAATCAGGCTAATGTAAGGCGATAGTTTTGAACACTGGCTGGTTATGTACTTGCTCAATAATTTGTAACCAAAAAAAGGACTGCAGCTTTAAAATAATCTTAAATATATGTTATATAATTAATATATAATATACTGTATATGCTATAACTAAATAATTACATGTAAATAACGGGAATCAATGTAGAAATAAAATTAAATAAAATATATAAAATATAAAATTAAATAAAATTAAATAAAAAAAAATTTAAGCTAAGCTAAACACTGTCAGTTGTTAAACTGGCAAGAAATACATTTTCCACTTTGATCAATGTTATGAAAAGCTGCTGCTTACATCATGTTTGACACATGGATCATCTTTACTGGACGTGGGATACATACACAGAGCTGATTCGGTGGCCCCTTCCTCTGAGCTAGCCACCACAAACAAGACTTTATCCCATTCCCGGACATTCCCATACTCTCCGGATTCGGACATGGCCTGAGCCAGCTCTTTCCCCGGGTCTGTCAAATATGCGGCCTGGACTTTATTGTAACGATTCTTCACACCACAACTAAGCTGAAGCTCCGTGTATGAATAATAGTGATTGTCATTCTCGCAGAGGCGCGAAACGAAAGTAAAGTTCTTGTTGTCTGTTCCGCCGAGAGTGCGTGAAAAGAAGAAGTAGACAAAGTTGTCATTTTTGAAGGTGAAGCGGAAGTCGTGAAGATACTTGGGCACGAAGGGAACAGCCTGGACCGTAGACGCCTCGATGATGCTCTCGAACACGACCCAGTCGCGGTAGTTCTGCACGATTCTGGTGCTGATGAGTTTGGAGCTGTCCATGCTTCCGTAGCCCTTCCCGACTAAAAAGACGCTGAACGGTTTATCGTCAATTTCAAGCGTGGCCATGACTCCTACCACGGAAACGTGCTCTTCTGTGCTGGCGGCATAGGTCCGCTCCCCTTTGCTGTCGCTGTAGTATATCTGCTCTTTGACATTGGTGAGGTTGAGCAGAGAGCAGATTCCTCGGTATAAGCTCCCACAGACTATCAGCGACCCGTTATCCGAATGAACCAGCAAGAGTTTATTGGTGTTGTTGGTGTCTTTCAGGTCCTGACAAGTAGACACCGGAGGGGTGCAACCCCTCGCATCTTTCTTGGGCCCCGTTTCAGCTCTGGCCTCAAGATACAATGAAGAGTTCAACTGATAAATGGCATTGACAGCACCCAGGTAAACACGGCCAGTCTGTGGGTCCTGTGCCACATTATTGATGGGCGTATCTGTGGAAAACTCCAGTATGGGCTCTTCAGAAGATGCAGTGGTTACTTGTAGCACCAGTAGGACCGCTGGTAACCAGGTGGCCATTGCTGGAAAAAGAAAGAGTTTGAATTAGGACAAATGACAAAATGCAAAGTTCAGATGTTGTGGTGTCAATTTGTTGGGGCATTGAATTGCGTGGTTAAGCAAGTATAAAATTGAGGTTAATTAGTAGTGCATGCTAATTACATCACTATTACTGTTGCTCATATGCTTTAGAACCGTAAAAACATTGTAGCAACCACCCTAGCAACACCCTAGAAACCACCCAGAAAACATAAACACTTACTAAAAATCCCAGCTACACTCAAGCAACATCCTAGCAACCCCCAAAAACACCACAGAAACTTCCTAGAACAACCACCCAGAACATCATAGAAAACCCCTTGAACACCATAGCGAGCCCCCAAAACATCACAGAAATCCAATAAAACATTCCAGCAACACGCTACCAACCCTCAGAATGCTTTGGCAACCTCCTAGAACATACTCGCAACACCATAGAAACTCATAGAAACTACATTGAACACCCTGGAAACCACCCAGAACACCTTTGGCAACTTCTTAGAACAACCCAAAACCGAAATCCACTAAAACATTCTAGCAGCATCCTAACAACCTCCAGAACATAAAAACTCACTAGAACATCAAAGAAATCCCATAGAATACCATAGCAACCACCTAGAACACCTTAGCAACACCCTAGCAACCACCCAGAAATCTACTTGACAAATAAAAACAAAAACAAAAAACAAACACCCAATAAAACATCATAGCAACTCTTGAGCAACATCCTAACAACCCCTGGCCCTGGACACCATTGAAACTGTTAAGAACAATGACTCAGAACATAATAGCAACCACACAGAACATCCTAGCAACCAGCAAGGTATCCACTGCTGTAAAAGAGAAAGGTGAAAAATGAAAAAGTGTCCACAAAGTGAACACACAAACACATGAGCACTACAACAGTTGGTGAAGGTCACTACAGGTGGATTTGACCACAACGCTCAATCTCTCAGCCCATTCATCCCTTCGGAGAAACATTCTTCAAATTAAAAAGCCTGACGAGGCTCAAACCTGGCCGGCAGTTTTATGATGTTAACCTGCCATTCCCTGGAGTTCCATCGACGCAGGGAAGTGATAATGCACTCACCCTGAGGGTTGAGTTAATTTCAGCTCTCGAATTCATTTACATAAAAACCCCTGCCCTTCTATTGGCAATTTTCATCTTTTTTCCACCATCTCCCTGCTGATCACGAAGCTCATTTATTACAAATTCCATTTCTTCACGTAAATGTAGCTGCCCTTTTTAGTTCATACCCTTAAACAATGCTTTTTAATTTGGAATGGTGGCTTAAATTGGTTTATGTCGCTCGTCCTCTTTTCGGGAAGTGGTTTGTTATTCTTTTACTTTGTCCTGAGGACGTTTTTGCACTTTTTTTTAACTTGTATTGCAGCAGTTTAGGTGGAAATCAGGTGTAGATTGGTGCTATAGTTGCAAAGTGTGACCAATCATCCAATGAGATTTCTGCAATGTCTCAATTGTTTCTCCTAGACAGTAAAGAGACTTCTTAATGTGTCTGGAAGTGTTACTGACACTGTAGAGAAGAAACAACGCAAATGAGATATCTTGTAACGTCTCAATTGTTTTTCCTAAACAACAAAGAGATTAAATTGAGAGAAAATTGAGACTTTTGCTTGTGTCCCAAAGTGAAAAAGAAATCACAAATGAGGTTTCTGTAACATCTCAGATGTTTCTCCTAAACAGCAATGAGTTCAAATGAAGACCAAATTAAGTATTTTGCTTATGAATGAAACTGAGAGCAGATTAAACTGAAAGCAAATTGAGACTTTTGCTTCTGTCTACAGTGAGACTGAACCTGAAAAAGAGAAAAATCATGAAGATCTCCAATCTCTCAACTGATTCTCCTAGAAAGTAAAGATATTAAATGGACAGATACTGAAGACTTTTTCTTGTGTCCACAGAGTGTGACTAAATGGAGAGCAAATGGAGACTTTTTCTTGTTTTTGAAAGCATGAATGATCCTATTTGTAAAGACAAACCACCAATGAAATCTCTGTTATATCTTAATTGTTTCACTCAGACAGCAATTCAATTAAGAGCATCTTAAAGTATGTTTCTTAAACTAAAGAGATGAAACGGATAGATACTCAAGACTTTTTCTTCACCAATAAGACTAAGGACCAGATTTACTATCAGCTTGCGTCAGCTCAAACCCTCATTTTGCGTTAAAAAAACTACTGTCAGAATTGACTAAAGACACGCAGTGGGAAATAAGCGCTGAAAAGGTGTGGACAGTTATTTTTGCGACTCACCTTATTGAATATGCATTTGTAGGAGTTTCCCTTTCGATCTGTACATTTATGGGAGGAGGGTATTTAAATCATGCAACATGATTTAGATTTGTGCTTATCAATTCACTGGTATTTGCGGCATTATTTAATGCCCCAAAAAAGCATGTCTTAAAGCAGGTGGTATTTTGCGGTAGTTTACTTGTCGGTAAATCACCCGCAGAATTGTCCCCTCCCATCTGCACTTTTATGGAATTGTGGTCTAACTCTAATTTGCCCTGTTTAGTAAATCTGGCCCTAAATGGAGGTCAGAAGGAGAATTTTGCTTACATGTTCTATTTGTCACATTATTCACTTGAGAAAAATACAATAGTAATCTTATGAGCCTCCTCTAAACATTTAGAAGAGATCTCAACAATTTCTCTGTGACTTGAAGTCTCCCAAAGCCAAATAATCTGAGCTGCCATCCACATCTTCCCTATCTCCTTCTCTATTTGTGCCTGTTTCAGGAATCTGAGGAGAAACATCGAGGATAAAGTTGATCCTTCAATGTCTCATTTGTGTCTATTACTTTTGGAGAAACATCTCATGCAAAGTTGATGCTGAAACCTCCAATAACCTTCCTGAGAAGCACCAATCTGTGAGCAATCAAATTTTGCTCAGAGATTTACTTTGGGATTGGGTTTCGGAGCACTATAGAAGCTAAGACCATCTCCATGCATCTGCCTGCAGGTGCTTGAAAGGAATCACATAATATTTAACCTCTAATCTAAGAAAGACAAATGACAGCATTTACTGACAGCGCTAGACCTGAAAGGACATTTCAGCAGCTCTAACTCAATACTGAGCTCATGGACACAAAGGAAATGGGACGTGGACATATAGATCAGCGACTTCGCTTAAGAATCACACATATATCTTCAGGGATCCAATTACCCTGACGTGTGTGTTCGTAATGCAGGACAGAAGGTCAAGACACACTGGCCTGCGTCCATTAATTCTGTTATTGCCGTCAGTGCGGAGAGCAGCCTTGGAGAAAACTTAGCCATCTGTCTCAATTAAGGCAGACGACAAAGCGCAGGATTCAAATGCTAATTTGTAGGGGTGTTGAGATTCTTGGTTAAGTGAGTATAAAGGTGAGGTGAATTAGTAGCGCTTGATAGATCAAACACTTTTACTATTGCTCAAACTTTGGGTGTGTCCAACAGACATGAACCTCAAACCTCATGTGGTTTATTGAAAATAGGTACGCTGTTACTTATATAAGCAATCAGACTTACAATTTGCAACCACAGAAACCACTTAGAACATCCTGGAAACGACCCAGAATATTCTAAAAAGACCATAGAACCATAGAAACCTCTTAGAACACTAACAACTACCCAGAGCACACTAGAAACCCCCTAGAGCCCCTTAGAACACTCTAGCAACCACCCAGATCACCTACCTTGGAAACCGCCCTTGAATACCCTAGCAACACCCTAGAAACCACATAGAACATCACAGCAACGTCACAGAACACCCTGAAAACCCTTTAAAACAGCCTAGAAACCACCTAAATCATCCCGAAACTCCCTTTAATCCCCCAGCAAACACCAATGGCTTGGTAACCTCCTAAAGCACCCTAGCAACCACCTAGAACACCACAAAAGAACATCAAAACAACTTCCTAGAACATCCAAGCAACCACCAAAAACACAACGGAAACCCATTAAAACATCACTAGCAACCTCCATGTCGTCATAAAAAAAAAAACACCAGAACATCCTAGTACTCTAGAAAGCCCCTAGAAACACCCTAGTAACAACACAGAACACCATGGAAACACCTTAGAACACTGTAGAAACCACTCAGAACACTCCAGAAATCCCTTAGAACTCCCTTTCATGACTCAGATCACCCTAGCAACCATCCATAACAGCCTTGAAATAGCTTAGATCACCCACCTTAGTAACCACCGAGAATACCCTAGCAACCACTCAGAACAGCTTGGAAACTCCCTGTAACACCCTAGGAACAGTCCGGAATCTCCCTAGAACACCCATGATACCATATAGAAAAGCCTACCAACACCCTAGCAACCACTCACTGTAGAACACCCCCACAATCACCTAAAACAGTCTAGTAATGGCCCCTAGCAACCTAAAAATGTCCTAGAACACCCTAGCCTAGCAACCATTCATAACACCATGGAAATGCCTTAGAACACTGTAGAAACCACTCAGAACAGCCTAGAAATCCCTTAGAACCTCCCTTTATTACCTTTGTAATGACAAAGATCACCCTAGCAACCATCCAGAACAGCCTGGAAACTCCCTAAAACACAGTTGATACTATATAGAACACCCTAGCAACCACTTACTGTAGAACACCCCAGAAATCACCTAGAACAGTCTACTAACGGCCCAGAGCAACCTAAAAATGTCCTAGAACACTGTAGAAACCACTCAAAATGCCCTAGAAATCCCATAGAATTTCTTTTCATTTCTTTAGTAATGACCCAGATCACCCTAGCAACCACTGAGAACACCCTGGATACACTTACGTTCACTACAATGAAAATACAGTTGAAATTATCACAGTATAGGAAAACAAGACTGCTTTAAAAAGACAGTTCAGTTGAACTGTTTGGTTACCCACATTCCTGAAAATATCTACTTTTGTGTTCAACAGAAGAAACAGACTCATACAAGTTTGGAACAAGTGGAGAGTGAGTAAATGTTGACAATTTT